GGCATTTGGCAGATGTGAAATAGTAATTGGTGCTGCACCAAAGGCTCAGTGATGGACAAGGTTTGCTTGAGCTCTGCTATAGGCGGCTGACTGGCCAGCCGACCTCTCATCCAATAAGGAACACAAGCAGTTGGCTGCTTTCCTTGGAGAATTCTGCAGCTGCAGGGAACATGAATTGAAATGGATTAAACTATTACAGAACAAGTGAGCAGTGTGAATAATTTATTCACACTGTATTTAAGTTTTACATTAACAATAGTTTAATGGAGTTAATCAGGGAGCCACGGAAAGCTCCCGAGAGTAGCCACATCTATAAAACGCTCGCCGGAAGCAAGTGCTATATGGCTGGGATTTCTGGCAGCGACAGAAAGCTCTTGATTGAAACAATAAAGAGTAATTTAATCTAAGACTGATGACTACAATGGGCTAAACAATGAACTCGCTCTGACTTAATATGTTCATACAAGGAGGTTTCAGGTACAGGGCACATGCTGACATTGGAGGAATCAGAAGTTTATAGGGCTCCATTAATTAAAGATGTCAGTTTTGCTCAGTTAGTAGCCCTTTCACGACCACATCACTCCCACCCTCGCTCGCCTCTACTGGCTCCCCATCCCCCAGAGGATCGAATTCAAGATCCTCATCCTCACCTACAAAGGCATTCACGGCCTCGCTCCCTCCTACCTCTCCGACCTACTATCCCCCTACTTACCTGCCTGTACCCTCCGTTCCTCTGGCTCCGGTCTGCTCCACATCCCCCGCCGCAACCACCCTACCATCGGTGGCCGGGCCTTCAGCCTCTCAGCCCCGAGGCTATGGAACTCTATCCCCCAGTGCCTTCGCCGCCTCCTCCCTTTCCTCCTTCAAGGCCGGTCTCAAAACCATTCTCTTTGACCGTACCTTCAGCTCCGCTCTCGACTCTCTACACCCTCCTCGCTCCCTCCCTTCCCTCCCCTCCCCCTGACCATTTCCCCCCCGCTCGGGTCCTGACCCAACTGTCCAGCGCCTTGGGACGTCCTCCCGACGTGAAAGGCACTCTATAAATGGAATCTTGTTGTTGATAACATTGGTCACTCACTTCATGGTTATATGTAGCAGATTGTAGTGTACAAATTGCCCGCAAAATAATAATAATCCTTGCATTTGATATAGCGCTTTTCATGTCTTCGAGGCGTCTCAAAGCCCTTCACAGAATATACTGTAAAGTGAATTGACTGTATATTTGTGGGCAAAATGCAGCAGCCAATTGCACACAGCAGTGTCCCACAAACAGTCGTGGATTGAAGTGACCAATTTATTATTTTTTGTTTTGAGGGATTATTATTAGGCATGTGGCGTAAGGAAACTTGCCCAAGGTTTTGCCCAAGGCTTTGCCCAAGGTTTTGCCCTGCTGGGAGTCGAACCTCAGTCTCTCGCTTGAGAGGCGAATACTCCAACCACTGAGCTACAGGACTCCACAAAATATACAGTCACTGTACTTTACAATATATCCAGTAAAGCTCTTCAAGTCATTCCGTTGATGTGTTAAGTCACAATATCGATCTGTGTAACACAGCTCGTGTTAGCCTGGCTCAGTCGGTAGCACTCTCGACTCCAAGTCAGAAGGTTGTGGGTTCAAGTCCCATGTTGGTACTTTGAGCTCATAGTCTAGGCTCAGTCCAGTATTGGGGGGGTGGGGGTATTGCATATTTTGGAGGTGTGTTTGTGGGACATTGCTGCCGCATTCACCAACAATATAGTCACTACCCATTAGAATGCATCCCGTGAAAGGTGCTAAGTGTAAGGAATGCAGTTCTTCCCAGTACTGCACTGGAGTGCCAGTTTAGACTGTCAGTTCACTCCTCAAAACACACAGTCACTGTGTTTTATAATGAATCCTGTGAAACACTTGGAGACATCTCGAATTATGTGATAAGGTGTTATATCAAATGCAAGTGACGTTACCATCACACACAGGAAACGGCCAGTCAATGCTGGGAGCAGAAAGTGTATTGAACACTTTCTACTCCCAGTACACATGGAGCTACATTGCATCTAGAACCTGCGCCATAACAACGAGATGGGTGGTTGGGGGGGGGGGGGGGAGGGGTTGTATTTGATCAGCATCAACAATAAAACCTGCATTTATATAGTGTCCTTCATGAAGGACAGAGTCTGAGCATGTAACAGTGACATATTATTAGAACAAAGAATTGAGATTATTTTACCACTCTGCACATCTAACACTCTAATTTCCATTGTCTGCATTACTGCTCAATGGCATCCGGTGACAAAACCTTGAAGGAAACTCAGCTCCATAACTGGTTTGTTTCAAGCCCACAAAGAGAGAGTCTAATAACAATGGTCATTATAAGCAGCTACATTTCATTAGGCAGTTAATGGTCTGCACATTGTGTGCCTGCCAGAAATGTGATGGCAAAATACCTCCAAGTGAGTAAAGACATGAGAACAGCTTAACAAAAAATACATCTGCATTCCAGACAGCACTCTCGCGTACGAGTCAAAAGGTTGTGCGTTCAAACCCCACATCAGGACTTGGAATTCACAGTCTAAGATGGTGCTCCAGTGCAGTGCTGGGGGTGACATGCTTCAGATGACTCATTAAACTGAGGTCCTGCCTGCCTGTTCAGGTCAAAGATCCCATGGCACTGTTCAAATAGAGAAGGGAGTTTCTCTCTCTCGGTGGCCAGACCAACAATTGACCAAATAAAATTGATCACTCACTCCATGGCTGTTTGAGGGATATAAACTACATAGTCTATATAGTCACTCCACTTTACAGTACATGTTGTGAAGCACTTTGAGACATCCCCCAACGTGAATCGCGCTGTATCAAATACCATATCAAATTATAATAATCTCACCAGTAGAAAGCTCAGTTACAATGTGGCCAGAACAGCAGTTGGCATCACCCTCCCCTCAGCTTCACAGGGAACGGCAACACAGAGGAACATTCACTGGATTTACAGCCCATTTCACAGTTAATCTCTCATTTGAAATGGAAAACCAAGTGTGGAATCTGCAATATTTCACGCCTTAATGCTGAGTCCCATGTAAAATTCAACAATAGTTTCAGCGTGTGCCTCTCTACAAGAAAACTGGAATGCTACTGATGCCATCCAATCATGTACCGAGCCTTGCAACGCTGTCAGAGACACCTCAGGCCGAGGCGAAAAAAATTATAATCAGCGCTCCGAGATGTTATCCTATGTGAAGGGAGCAATACAAGAGCAAGTTGTCATTAGAATCCTTATACAACCACAGCATTCTTCACGCGGAGTGGTGTCCTGGAGCGCTTAACAGTGGCAGAGTCTGATGCTGAGCCGGGGGGAAGGGAGAGGTGTCTGTAAGCACCGTCGAAGAGGAAGATCTTCAGGCGCGACCTGAAAATGGGGAAGGAGGGGGCGAGCGGAGGGATTGAGGGAGAGACAGTGCCTTTCACACCAGGAGGACTGCTCAAAGCGTTTCACAGGATTTTACTGTAAATTACAGGGACTCTTTTTTTTGATGAACTGGGAAGCCAATTTATGCCCAGCGATGGACCGCAAATGTTCTTACGCATGTGCTGTGTGCCCTGACTGTGTCGACCTGATGATGCGGAAGTCGGACATTTTTGTTTGCAGTGGATAAAAACAGTAAATTAGAAATAAACTAATTGATCAGCAAATACAAATCCCACCCCCCCCCCAAACATTTCTACCGAACCCGAATACAATGCAACTCGAAGCAATCAAAGGTCAGTGTTACTTGGCCGCTATCAAGGTAACCTCAGTAATAATAACTTGGTCACTCAATCCATGACTGTTTGTGGGACACCACTGTGCGAAATTGGCTGCCGTGTTTTGCCCACAAAATGTACAGTTAATTCCCTTTACAGTATATTCTCTAAAGCCCTTTGAGACGTCTTGAAGACGGGACAAGGCGCTATATCAAATGCAACGATAATATTATAAATCCAAGTTGCTGTAACTGTTTTATACTGGTCGCCCGACTCCAAGGTTAGAGCAAGCGCCTCAGACTCGTTCCCTGGAAAATGTTTTATGAAATCCAAACTATTTTCAAGTACAATATTTGCTCTCTCTCAGGGTAATAAATAAGTTAGCGGCCTGACTTTGCTCAGAGTTTCAGATGCAGGCTGTAAAAAAAAACATTAGGGGATTACAGGGAGAGATGGGATTAATAAAAAAAATCATTTAGTGACAGAATCACTGGGGTGGAATGGCATCCTTCTGTACTGTTTTAGTCAATCCACTTTACAGTACATCCTGTGAAGCTCATTGAGATGTCTCAACTATGTGATAAGGTGCAAGGATTATTATTATCCAGATTTCTCTGGTAGCAGCAGTAATGAGGCCCTCAAGCCTTGGGCAATAGGGCAGAAAGTCACTGGATAAAATACAGTGTACATTTATCTCACGCCTTTCACGTCAGGTGAACGTCTCAAAAGACTTCACACCGCCTGCTGGCTGGGCACTCGAGCCTGTAGGGAGGGGAAAGTGCGGTGAAACATGCAAGTCTTCAGGCGGGCTTTGAACATGGGGAGGGAGGGAGGCGGAGGGACTCTAGGATGGAATTCCGCTGAGTGGCGAGCAGAATGGCCAAAAGCTCATATGCCAGCCTGGTGATATGGGGCAGAGAGAGTGAGGGGAGAGACCAAAAGGAAATGTTCACTGGGGAGATTCTAATGAAAACTCAAGCTCGCCATCGCTCTTTGTGCTGTTACAAGGGATGCCTGGAACAGAAAAGGGAAAAAAATCCGTGCTCTCCACAGAACAAAGCACTGCATTGGTGTCCAGTCAGGGAGGGTCATGAGGGGCCAACACAGGAACGCGAAACCCAACCTCCACTTACCATTTCAGTCCCTTTTCACCGCCAGAGTAGAACAATTCACTTGACAGTATATTCTGTGAAGCGCTTAGAGACGTCTCGACGATGTGATAAGGCACTATATCAAACGTAAGGATTATTAGATTATTATTTTTATTATCATCCTCTTCTAGATTCACTCGGATTCGGACAAGGGCGACGGCTCCATCAAGTACACCATCTCGGGGGAGGGGGCCGGCACCGTGTTCATCATCGACGAGATCACAGGCGACATCCATGCCACCGAGAAGCTGGACCGGGAGGAGAAGATCTACTACACACTACGTGCTCAGGCCCGCGACAAGCAGACAGACAGGCCTCTGGAGCCAGAGTCTGAATTCATCATCAAAGTCCAGGACATCAATGACAGCGAGCCCAAGTTCCTGGGCGGGCCCTACACAGGCAGCGTACCCGAACTCTCGCCTGTAGGTAAGGAGACACTTTGGTTCTTTCTGAGACCCCCCCTACTCTCCACACCTCCCTCCCCCCCACAAACGACTGGAGTCAGGCAACATTATACATTTATTTTGAATTTTGGGTAAGTCTCGTCAGCGTCCACAGCCCAATCGTGCTATGAAGAAACCCCAAGTTGTAATGGGGGAAGTCAGGGGGTTCAACTCACACACACCCTTACGCCCCCAGGAAACTGGTCGATAAAAGCAGTAAAGGCAGTCTTTACACGTGGAACTGTTCGCAGTCAAGGTTTCACAGCAAACAGCTGTCAGGGAATTAAATTCACAGACAATACTACAGCTAATCAATTTTTATAGATTGCAGCCAATGGCGCAGAGAGTATTTAATCACATATTTGCAAAAAATAGGCGAATATACCAGAAGTAATCTTTCATTGCAAATGGCAATTTGGAAACAAAACAATTTTCCAGGCCAAAGCATCTTTGCTTCCTCTTTGTACAATCTTTGAAATGAATGGCCATAATAATAAATAATCCTTGCATTTGATATGGTGCCTTATCACGCCATTGCGATGTCTCAAAGCGCTTCACAGAATATACTGGAAAGTGGAGCGACTGTATTTTGTGGGTGAAACGTGTCAGCCAATTGCGCACAGCAGTAGGCAATCCCTTGATAAGAGTAAGATTGTTCCTCATCTTGATGGTGTGGTCATGGCAGACTGACGCTCCTTCCTCTGTCGACATTCTCTTCTTCCTCGGCAACCCACTGAATAGCCACCTTCTTTCGTGCTAATACATATTCTCTCTCCAGCTGGGTTGTACGTGTTACACAGTGACCATCTCTGTGGGGTACTGTACAAACCAATGGCAAGAATGCACTCCATTACCACACAAGCCAGCATCACACATCACAATCCCCAGGAGTACATTACCCAGGCAAACTCCCAAAGAATCGATTAAAAAAAAAAACAACTGCGAGAGATACACAGTGACAGAGGAAGAAGAACATTTCGGAATGACAAATACACCATTCAAAATATATTAGATATTGTAAAACCAGGATGAAGTACCTTGCAGGGCTGTAATTCACTTCCGAGATGCCCCTGTATAATATACTGCATAATATTTTGTGCATCAACAGATTGCTCCTGCCAACATGTTTTTACTGCTATGTAAATATTACTTTGTGATTCATTGCAGTGTAAATGGATCTCAGCAGTGGAAAGGCTCCATTAGCGGAGTCTGAGGTACACAAGCACGCGTCAATTTGTTTACAGCATGGTAATAGGTTTAGATGGACTCGATGAATCCATGTTAACTGGCTAAACGGACTTGTGGCTACAATAATGTTTCACAGTGAATGGTTAACATGATCTGTGGCAAGGATTCCGAGCCAGGAAGGTTAAAGTAATAAATCCAAGTGGAGTTGGAAACTTTCCTTTAGTTCCCTTTCTTTCCTCTCCCACCTCCACCTCCCCCGACTTTATCCCTTTGACCCAAAGACAAAGCGAGGCTCTGCAGACATGTTTTGTGGGTGTGTCTGTATATATATATATATATATATATATGTGTGTATAAAAATATATATGCACTCTCAGTTCTGAGTCAGAAGGTTGTGAATTGAAATCCCCAAGTCACGACTTTCAGCTTAGTCAAGGCTGATCCCATGGTATGATTAAAAGAGAAGGTACATTCTCCCAGTGTCCAGGCCAACAATGCCTCAGATTAAATTGGTCACTCACTTTGTAGCTGTTAGTGAGAAATTGGCTGTTGTGTTTGTTTAGAAAATACATTGTCCCTGCACTTTACAATAAATCCTGTGACGTACTTGAGACGTTTCCGCAACATAAAACGTGCTGTAGTCAAAGGTGAGGATTATTAGGAGTTTGTGATGAAGGCTTGACTTAAAGATTCATCTGTGAGATGATTTAAGAAAGAGCAGGGATGTGACACCAAGGACAGGAAGGGATGACAGAGAGCTCAAGATTTCTAGGGTCCAAATATTGAATAGCAACAAAAATAATCTGCACCCAATTTACCTTCTCCCCCCAGCTCAGGGGCCCAGCCAACTGTATGAAACACTTTGTGAGACATCCTCCCAATGTGACAGGCGCTATGGAAATGGAAATTGCATTATCAATATCTGAGGGATCGTCAGCCAAAAATGTAGTTACGCTGTCCTAATTCAGACTTCTTTTTAAAAAAAGGAATCTGTTTAATTGTTCTTTTTAATCTGACGGACAGCCGCATAAAATTCAGTCCAAATCCTTCAGGCAATCTGAAGCTTGCCAATTACACTTGCAAAACTGCATCTTTAACAAAACAAATTAGGTTTTGCAAAGCGAGATTCCTCATATCTGCTCTAACTACATGCTGCACTACTGATCAGACTCAAATGAATTGTGCAATTAAGTGCAGTACTTCCTTTTGTTATATTACACCAATCACAGGATCAAACTGTCACTCTTTCGTATCTCGCACCATTACATCTTCCCTTCTCTGCTGTTTCACTTTTTGGTTTTCTTCTACACTTCTAAGGGTACCTATGTGCAGTCCCGTAGCATATTGGTTAGAGCACTCGCCTCACAAACAAGAAGACTTGAGTTCAATTCCCAGTCATGTCGAAACCTTAGGCAAGTTTACTTACTGCACTCGGCTCCGTTTACCTAGCAGTAAGTAGGAACCCAGTTGATAGTTGATTGGTGAATTGCTCTCCGTGAGTAATAATCTCTTCAAAAAAAATATTAAAAATACAAAAAATAAATTGGTCAATCAATCCATAACTGAGAGACACTGCAGTGTGCAATTTGCTGCCATGTTTCGCCCACAAAATATATAGTCAATTCACTTAACAGTATATTCTGTGAAGCGCTTTGAGGCATCTGAACAATGTGATGAAGCGCTATATCAAATGCAAGGATTATTATTAATGCAGCAGCAAAGAACAGCCGTATGTCATGTGCTGTGAGCTGCGAGTCAGGACACAGAGGTCCTTCGGCATTGCAGGCAGTAAATGCACATGACGGGTCGGGACTTGCCAGGTTGCCGCGATTGTTTCCCATGGAGCTGTGTGTGTGGAGCTTCAAAGCCGGTAAGTGCATAGGAGATGAGGGTCCTCTTCACTCTCCAGGCATTCCTCGCCCCCTGACTCGCCACGTGACTCAGACCAGCGTGCTGCCAACTGCCAAGCAGGCTGACAAAATGGTTCTTATCCTTAAATGTCATCTGCACGTTAGTAAATTTTCAGTTCATTGACAGATTAACAACAACTTGTATTTTTTATATAGTGCCCTTCCTGACAGGTAGCGTCCTGAAGATCAGTCAAGCCAGGACAGAGAATTGCATAGTGAGGGTGGGGTGGTTGGTGGGGGGGGAGGGGGGGGGCGGTGTGAGATGGGGGGATGAGTTCAGCATCTTTTGAATTCTGCCTTGGAACCCAGTACAGCAGTAACTTGGTGCTCACCACAGAAGGAAACCTGTTCTCTTCAGAATATTCTGCCGACAGGCCTCGGTGCGGGGGGAGGGGAGAGGGGCTTTGATGCTTTAATAAAACAAGAGGACTGTGCGAGGAGGGGATTGGCATCTGTGATAAATCACAGGAAGCTGGTTTTGTCATGTTTACGACCGCTCAGCTGGAGGTTGGCAGATTTCAGTGTGTGCCAGGCAGCTCTCCCCAATGCCCAGCACTGGGAGACGCAGGCGAAACTCTCTCCCAGACAGTGAGCACGTGTGAAGTCTTTAGAGAAACACAAAGCCGTACAGCTGAGCCACACGGCCCAGGTATAATCAAAGCCAAGAAGCAATCAAAGTCGAGTCTTAAATAGATTTGTTTAAAGCGTAGCCGTCAACCCTTCAATTAAAGGTGGTTCCTCATTATAAAACATGTCCTCTTCCTCACAGTCATTCTAACCAAGGCAGTAGAAAGGAAACAGTGATCTGGACAGACACACTCGTGGGTTTTAGAAAGAGGAAAAAAAACTCACTCAACAAATAATAATAAGACTTGCGTTTGATATAGTGCCTTTCATATCAGGAGGGTGTCTCCAACCGGATTTACTCCAAAGTGTAATGACTATTTTGTAGGCTACCATGGCAACCAGTTTGCACACAGCAATGTCCCACAAACAGCCATAATGTGAATGACCAATTTTATCTGGGAGATTGTTGACTAAGACCGCGGGAGAAACCCCCTTCTCTTTTTTTTAAAAAAAGTGCAATGGGATCTTTACCGGCCCTAAACAGGCAAACAGAAACTCGGTTCAATACATTATCCAAAGAACAGCAATGGAGCATTCCCCCAGGATTCTACTTAAGTGTTAACCTCCACTAAGAGATCCAAATCCCTTTGTGGGGCTTGAGCCCACCACCTTCTGAACCAGAGAAGAGGAGATAGGGGGAAGGAAATTCAAAGGAGGGGGGAAAAAAAGGCCTTTGAAACCCTCCAGATCTGAAAAATAAAATCAATTGCTATAAAGTGAATAACCCATCTTCAGCAACTTGTGCTCACTGGGAGGACAGCAATGTGCACCCTACACAATACCAGCAAATGTTATTAATTACAATGGAAGATAGAAAAAGTGAAGCATGGTAGACAGTTCTGAACTGTAGCCGTCAATCGGTGCATTGTTATCGAAAACACGATGTGTAATCTGAGCAAAAATAGACCCCTCAAACAGGAGGAAACAACTTAATCTGCTTCAATTAACAGGAGGGAATGTCAGGAAAACGGTTTAACATTCAACTACCCAACGAACACACAGATTCAATTCATCAAAAATTCACTCAACTGGAGGCAACTGGATAATGCAATATCGTCATGTTGATAGACTAATAGAAAACACTTAGAGCTCACTGTCTCTTTGTTTCCTTTTTGCAGTCACAAAAGCATCCTGTCCTTCATTAAGATAATTGTTCTGTTCTCCCTCTGGTGATAGAGCGCGTGGAAATCTTGATTTTCAAGTAACCTTGAAGTCTCGGAAACAAAAATCAACAAGCCTGCTCAGCACTCCCACATCA